AAAATTATCTATAAAAAAGGTATCAATATAACGCTTTAAAACTACTTGCTCGGATTGGTATAATATGTATACCAATCCGAGCAAGAAGTTTTAGTTTAGTAGCATGGTTTGTGAAAAACACTCGAAATAAAAAACAAGTGCAACTAGCTTGTCTTCAATCTATCAATAATAATCATATCCAACTCTTGCTTATATCAGTTATTATACAATAGTTTCCAATTAACCAAAATCACACCAAAATTACATTAAGAATTACGTGCTAAGTAGTATATTCTTAAATGTGTAAAGCTTTAGATTAATAATTAATACTCAAATAAATTAATCCTGGATTACTTATAATTATAACAAAGGTTTTCTTGGGGAACACACCTATCTTTGCAGAGAATGTATGTGAATATAGTCTATATGTTTATACTAAGAGTTAGTCTTTTTAGTCTAAGTCTCTGTAGGCTGTTTCAGCAACTCTACACCATGTGACTATTTTTCGCGAGGAATGGCATCAGTCCTGCTATCCCAACTCCAAAAAAGTAGTGTCTTTTTATTTATTGATAGCATGAGGCTTCATTCGGCACAATAGTCAGTTTAGGTGTGCTTTTTTGAAAGAACACTTTTCACCGCGGAAAATTGAAATTTATTTAAGATTCTTGTTCTAATTTTCAATCACACCACGGATTCCGAGGTGAAAAGTGAGTTGTTTTTACACAATAGTTCTGCAGGAGTCAGCATTCATGGTACACAGGATCATTCTCATGTGCCTGTTTATTGTACGTCTTTAAATAATGATACCTAGACATGCAGTAGCTTGCAGATTTTTCTTGGAGAAATGTAAACTTTAATTACCTCTAAGAGAGAGTAGCAGAAACTTCTCTTTGTTATACATCACATACTCGGCGTTCTACAAATATCAATAATGTTAAGATTGGGTTTATGAGATGGTGACACGACTCAATTTCTATTAGCTCATACGCTCCATTAGCCACCTCAATTAAAATTACAAAAATATGAAACTTATAAAGTGGTCACCTAGTATTATAAAAATCTATATTGAGAAAAAAGGAAAAGACTATTATTGACATACTTGAAGAGATAATAGCATTAAAGATTTGACATTCGATTGTGAAAATTAGAAATTCCCTTTGATAATGATGTATCATTAACATATATTCATTACAAAACTTCATTATTTATATTTTCTGAGAGAGAGATTAGAAAAGCTTCTAATGATAGCACATTTTGGAACTTTCACGCACTGTATTCCCTTAACGCAGCGCAGCCACTTTCTTCAGGCCTTTGGAAGCCGCAATCGGACTTTAGTTGCTAAGAAAATCATCCTGGCCTTGCTGAACTCAACCACGTGGAGCGCAAAACGTAGTAACGTGCCTTTTAGTGATTTTTTATTGTTACTCCTATTACTAGTTTTATTACACTTTGGTCTTTTCCAAGGTAGAGCTTAATGAATGAATGAATGAATGAATGAATGAATATATTCTTTATTGCACTATTACACACAATACAGAGAACATAAAACACAGAAACAAAAACACAAAAGGCGGCCTTATTGCTAAGGTAGCAATCTCTACCAGGCAACCTTTGGCTAAATGAAACCATACCATAAGAATAGTGGAATCAGCGGGCTAGTGCATTGTAAAAATAAATGAATAAACATAAATATAATAATATACAATATAGTAAGTATGTAAGGAAGCTATAAAATACAATAAATAGTAATAAACAGATAAAAAGATCAGGCAGAGTCCAGCTTGAGGAAATATTCCTTAATTTTAATAGTAAAGGATTCTCTCCTCCGATTCCAGATAATAAGCTTATTATCTGGAATCGGAGGAAAATTCGTCATACCCGATAGGGTATTAAGAAAACTTTAAAAGAGATACCTTTTAAAGTTTTCTTATGAAGCCTTACAGTAAAATAAAACTACCTTCTTGTGGTGTTGTGTTTCTGTCGGCGATTAAGGTTCCAGGGCACCATGGGGTAAGGGATTGGTTCAGGGTAGGCAACGGGGCGAGTGATATTTTTGATATCGAAAGCTTCTATAAGCTATGATGGTCACTAATTCCTTTAAAGGTCTTTGTGTTCGCTTATACAATAAAGTCCCAAGCAATATCCAAGAGTTAACCATAGATAAATTCAAATATAGTATAAAAAAAGCACAAAGCTTATTACAAAGTGTCTGCTTATATTACAGACAAAAATGCTTGGGTTTGAACTGTTCCAATCATTCCAACAGGTTTTCTATATTAAATAAATCATGATTGTATTGACGTTGTAACAACATAATGATTTGTAAATGTTGTTACATTATACTTTTAATGTTGTGGAGTTTTTTTTCGCTCGTTTTTCTCCGTAGCTCAAAAATATGTCCAATAACGAGTGGTAGGAAAAAAAATGTTTGGACGATTCAAAGTGTTGTACTATACATCCAATTTGAATAAAGATATATTGATTTCTGATTTCTGACTACCAACAGGTGGATCATCTGTTTGTTTGCTCCCCTTTTAAAAAAAAAGAAAGCTTCTATTCTCGACTGTAAGTTCTAGCTTACTTAATATCCGTTTGCGTATCAAACCGAAACCGCCCATGTCTAAATCACCTAACGCAAGTTTTATAGAGGGTGTGTCAACCCAGCGGACGTTGTCACCAACGATTATTACAGATTATTACCGATAATTTCCCGCCGTAACGTAGCCTCGGTAATTATCTTAGAGCTAGACTAGTTACCGAGACGGAATTTCGTAAGCTCGACTAGCGATCGTGCATGCTAATCGTTAAAAGCTCGAAATGGCAAACGATTTTCTTTTAGAAGTAAATACACACATCAAAAGTGTCTAGGGATCAAGCATTTTTATGCGGATTTCTTGAGATTGAGATGTGGCTTTGTAATAAATTTATGATTTTATAAATTTATATGGATCCTTTTTGGTGCATTTCATAATTTGAATCAGGAACTGTGAATCAAATTCGAGTAAAAGATGAAAATCAGCTGTCAATATTTTCCCTATAAAAACATACAACGCATTGAAGACATTATTAGTGCTACTGTTTCCCTACTACTGATTAAAACCAACGTTATTATGGAGCGGCGACGTCATTTAAGCAGGGAAGAAATGCTCAGAGCCGTGGGAGTGATAGAAGCTGGTTCCCGGCAACGTACTGTGGCTTTAGCTCTGAATACAAGTCAGAGTGTTATCAGTCGACTTTGGACACGATACCGAAGCACTGGTACCGTGGCTGAGCGCCATGGAGGACGGTATCGCTGCACCACACGGAGACAAGACCGATACATTCAAATCTTAACTCGAAGAGCTCCAACAATAACCGCCATGATGTTAGCCGTGAGGCTTCATCACTCTTCAGGGAACTTAATTAGCGACCAAACAGTCAGAAACCGCTTGCATGAAGTGAACCTTCATTCCCGAAGACCGCTACGGGTACCACCTATAGCAATGCACAATCGTAGGATTCGATATCAATGGGCTCTTGAACACAGAAATTGGGCAGAAGAACAATGGCGTTTCGTGTGCTTTTCTGATGAGTCTCGTTTTGGTATGAGACCGGATACAAGACGTATACGACACTGGAGAACCCCTGGACGCCAACAGCGATTAAAATCCTGCCAGGAAGTCCATCCTTATAGTGGTGGAACCATCATGGTATGGGCGGGTATTTGGATCGGCGGAAGAACTGAGTTGATTTGGATCAGAGGCAACCTCAACGCTCAAATTTATGCTGAGACGATTGTATCAGACGTCATCGTTCCTCTACAAGTGCAAATCGGTCCCTTATTTCAGTTAATGCATGATAATGCACGACCGCACACCGCAAGAGTTGTAAGACAGACTCTCGCCGCAGCTAACATCAATGTCCTGCCCTGGCCTGCTCAGTCGCCAGACTTGAACCCGATTGAGCATGCATGGGATATGCTACAGAGAAGAGCTCTGCCGAATATGGAGGGTATCCAGTCGCAAGAAGACCTTTTTTTGTTGTTGCAACGAACATGGGCGGCCATTCCGCAGCGTGATTTGGATGAACTCATTTTGAGTATGCCAAACCGATGTTCTTGTGTTGTTAGTGTTCGCGGTAGAAATACGGATTATTAATTGTTTAAGTTACCCAATAAAATTTTAGAGAAAACAGTTATTTCAGTCTTTTTTTCGAACTTTTGTGTTAGTGGTTCAAATGTCAAAAATCCCTTTATTAGGAAAATGGCAAATTTCTTTATTAATGCAAAGGTGACTTGGTTTATCGTTACTGTGACAAACGAAAACACTTTATTTGATGAATCCTTAAAGAAAATTTTAATTAATATCAATCAGGAGAAAAGTTATTGCAAAAATATATGTTGATCCCTAGACACTTGATGTGTGTAGTATATTTTCAGTTGTTATATTTTTATTTAAAATCTAAAGTTTATGATATTTTTATTTTAAATGTTTATATCTAAAGAAAAATAGTCTATATCAAGATTTTATAGGGATGGTTTATTGAAATACGTGTTTAGTATAGCTGTATTTATGTTAAGTTTATTACGAAAACGATGAAAGAAGTTCAATAGTTTTATTTTAATAATAGCTCCATGAGGATGAATGTCGATCAAAGAATGGTTCATCAAAGATTGGCATTAAAAAGCATAAATGAGAATAAATTATAAAAAAATAGGACCATATTTCCAAAATATACTTAGCTCAATATAAATTATTTCTGATTATCTTCAATTATAAGCTTCATTAGAGTCTAATAAGCTGGTAACTGGTAGAGTTAATAATAAGGTATCTATTAGAGAAATAAAATAGGTACTTACTGACTGGTGAGAAAAAAGATTTCTCTGTTCTGTGTTACTGACTCCCAGTCTACTGCCTATATAGTTTAGAGTTCAGTCTTCCATAGACACTTTAATGATTTTTTATAACCTATGTAGGTGTGATCCATGTAACTGTTTGTGGAGAGATATAAAAATAATGAATTATTAATATTTTGTTTTACAGAGCTATCAGAAGAATGGGCACTAGCGGAGTGCGAAGGGGAAGGATGGTGGAAGGAGGCGCGCGATTCGAGCCGCGACCACATCGACGTGCAGTACGCGGGCGTGGCGCCCGTGGAGCGAGCTTCCTCCGCGCCCGCCACCGCGCTCGCCGTGCGCGCCGCCTTAAACTCCGTCAAATGTAACTATGTGCCCATTGCTAGCTTTAAGCGGTGTATGAAAGGGAAGACTAGTACTCGAGCCACGACCACATCGACGTGCAGTACGCGGGCGTGGCACCCGTGGAGCGAGCTTCCTCCGCGCCCACCACCGCCCTCGCCGTGCGCGCCGCCTTAAACTCCGTCAAATGTAACTACATATGTGCCCACTGCTAGATTTATGCGAAGTGTGAAGGGAAAGGCTGGTGGACTCGAGCCGCGACCACAACGACTTGCAGTACGCGGGCGTGGCGCCCGTGGAGCGAGCTTCCTCCGCGCCCGCCACCGCCCTAGCCGTGCGCGCCGCCTTGAACTCCGTCAAATGTAACTATGTGCCCATTGCTAGCTTTAAGCGGTGTATGAAAGGGAAGACTATTACTCGAGCTATGACCACATCGACGTGCAGTACGCGGGCGTGGCACACGTGGAGCGAGCTTCCTCCGCGCCCGCCACCGGCCTCTCCGTGCGCGCCGCCCTAAACTCCGTCAAATGTAACTATGTGCCCACTGCTAGATTTAAGCGAAGCCTGAAGGGGAAGGCTGGTGGTCTCGAGTCGCGATCACATTGATGTGCAGAACGCGGGCGTGGCGCCCGTGGAGCGAGCGAGAAATTTGGCCATGACCCACTGGGCATGGGCACTCCCTTTCGTGTTGCTCTATTTCCTATTATGAAGTAAATTTTTATTTTTTGTTTTATAGCGTTCAACAAGAAAATGCAGAGGGTGAGCTTAGACATCAGCTCCAAGGGCATAGTTGTGAACGACGTCAGCGCACAGGAAGAAATATTAAGCATATCCATTTACAGGTATGATCATTAACACGCGATCATGAATTTCGCTTTTGTTTTTGCCTATGTTGCACAGAAAAAAAGATAACATTTGAATGAAAAGGGGAGGCAAACATGGTTTTGGTGTTATGGTTCCATAGTCTATGGAACCGAGAGACAAGATTATCACTTATGCTGTTGCTTACCCTGACGCAGTCCCATACCCTGCGGAGCCCTGGAACACAATACCTACAAAGTTAGTGTTATTTCAGTATGGTTTTTTGTCAGTTCTGGGTTATTCCCCCAGGCGGGTGATAAAATCAGAGCGGAAAATCCGCTATGCTACTTGTCCTAGAACACTTGATAGGTAACATTCAAAATAGTACTAAAATCGTGAACTGTAAAAGATTTCCTAAGTAACAAGGGACCAAGATAACATTCGTGTCATTCCATGATTTGTACATAAAAGGGAAACAATTAATTAATTCGTAATTTATTGCAAAAATATCGTCGTTAATTATGTCATGTAGGCTCGTTATCTGATGTCAGATCCATTCAGAGCAAACATCTCGTACCAGATTGGTGGCTGGCACCGATCATCCTTTGTGGTTTATTTATAATTCAGCGGAGATAACATTATCTAGGTCTTTGTACTGCATATTATCAACAAACATCACTGGCTTATTAGGCAGTTTTGACCTTCGGGTTGAGTTTGTGTTTTTGGTTAAGTTAGCATACAAGCGTATGCCTCGTTTGATGGTAAGAGCGATCACCGTTGACTTTAAGACAACGTTTACATCATCAAGAGTATTGCTCACACGTTGCCTCGCCTCTGATCCTTTCTCCTACCCCGTGGAGCTTTTCTCTTTCTTTATAATATTGAAATACTTTCCACCTCTTTATGATCGTTAATTACAACACTTTCACCAATCATTGATAAAGTTTTTTCATATCTCTCCGAAATTGGATGAAAGAGAGTTAGGGCACAGCGGATTTTCCGTTCGAATTGGAGCGCTCGTCTGCGGAAGCAACCTCCACCTTAAAGAGACCACAGTAAATTAACATTACCTTTTGGTGGTGTTGTCTGTATGTTGAGTAGGGTTCCAGGGCTCCGCGGGGTTGGGATTCATGCCGGCTAGATGAGGATGCTTGGAGCGGCACACTTTCTGCCGTGTCATCCAGCTTCGCGAATGGACTCCACTTACGCTTAACGTAAGGTGGAGTGCGGTAATTTTTTGAGCCTCATAAAAAAATGCTCTATTTCAGACGTCTCGAAGAGAAACCATAATCAATTAGTTTAAGTGTTTTTCTTTCTTCGCAGAATATCGTACTGCTCAGCGGATGCGGCGAATGCGCGCGTGTTCGCTGTGGTGGAAGGCAAGTCTACTGGCGGATCAGCTGAGACCCACGTAGTGCACGTGTTCGTGTGCGCGCGGAGAAAACATGCGCGAGCCCTGGCGCTGTCTCTCGCGCACGCCTTCAATGACGCGTACCAGGTAATATGCGATAGATATAAATGCTCGTATTCAAGATACAAACATTTGCCGCATCGGGAACGAAACCCAGCAGCTCCGAGTAGTGGTACTGCTCAACGAACACGGCGAAGGCAAGTCTACCTGCGCGAGCGGATCAGATCAGACCCGTGTAGTGCACGTTTTCGTGTGTGAGAAAACATGCGCGAGCTATACCGCTGTCTCTCGCGCACTCCTTCAATGATGCGTACCAGGTAATGTACGATATAAATACTCATATTCATGAGGAGCTCGATGGCGCAAGTGGTTAGCGAGTTCGGCTGCGATCGTTGAATTTAAGCATCTTTCGCAGTGGTCGGTCATTGGAAGGGTGACAAAAAATTATTATCTTGAGCTTCTCCGTGTTTCGGAAGGTACGTTAAGCCGTTGGTCCCGGCTGCATCTGCAGTCGTCAGTACCCACCAATCCGCATTGGGCTCGCATGGTGGGTTATAGTCCTATGGGACATAAATAGGCTGATGATACAAATATTTGCCCTACCGGGAATCAAATCAAACACAGGAGCTCTAAGAAGACGACAGCTTGAAACCCGGTGTACCTACATACCAATACCATCCCATCACGGAGGTCGTCAAGTTGTATAGCTTTTAGCTTTACTCCATTTATAAAAAGACTGAGATCATTAAATTATTTTCATATAAGATCCAATGCAACAAAATGCCCTGTTTATTTCATTGAACAATGTTTTCTCCCTCAGGCTTGGCAAGCAACACAACAAAGCAGTATGCAAGGCAGCGGGAAAGGACTTGCACCTTGGGTAAATTTCTTTTGAATATAACCATAATAACGTTATGGCATAGATAAATATGTATTTCTTTACGAAATTATATCAAAGGTGCATACACCACCGTGATATTATATATAGCTTATACAGTAGAGTTCTTAAACAGGCAGGTGATAGTGGACACAACCAGTACCCTTAGCACGTACTAATATCGAATTCGAATAGTTGAACTCGATCTAGATGAGTCAAATGTCAAGAAGTTTTTATGGAAGATTTGTATTTTTTTTTACGTCCGTCGGCCGCTGTTCTAATTTCCATGCAGACCTTGACAGTTATTTCGACGCGTATCGAGATCGAATTGAACTAGTCAAATTCGATATTGGTTCGTGCTAAAGGTACAGTTTATCATACATATAAAAAGGCTGGAAAATACATATGTTAAGTGGCCACCATAGAATGATAGTTTGGTATCAAAAACACCTTGCTGACTCCATCTTCTAATCCGTTGAATTCTGAATACGGTACTCCACCAAAAGATAGTTTTATTTTGTCGTGATCTTTTGCAAAAAGTTTCCTTCCTTCAGTACACGGGAGCTTCAGTTGGAGTGAAAATCTTAGTGGAAGGGCAGGTGGAAGTGCTGATGCTCTTCCACTCTTTAACCATCAGTTTTACCCAAAAAAAGTTTGGTATGCGTTTGACATGAGTTACATTTTACATTTTTTTGACGTGACCTATAACTTTTGGCACTCGAATACAACTCCCACTTTTTTTATTTGTGACATTTTAAATGTTGCTTTATATATCAGGTGCGATTTGCCGAAGAGTCAGACGATGAAGTCGACAATGAGCAGTGGCAAGAAGCAGCACCGCCGCTGGTCACGTTCGCCTGAAAATCTTTGGAAACATCTTTGGTTTTTGCTGCTTTTTGCTTCGCTTCTTAAATAAAATTACAAGTTGTCATTACGAACTTTTGGCATTCACATCACATTACTATAGACTAGGAGGAAGAATAAGGAACATGTGATTCTCGTGTATTAGTTGTATTGATAGAAGCAGGCCGAAATCCCATTGTAAAAATTGGTTGTCACCTATGATGTTTTAAAGTTATATTATACGTCATTGGTTATTGCTTAAAGCTAGAATAAGCTCTATTGACTCAAATTCATACTTGACATTACAAATCGATATCAAAAGACACCATAAATAAGACAAAATAAGATTTTTTTTTAATATTAATACAATTCAAAAATTCTTGCTAAAGATTATTACCAACATTTCACAAAAGGACCTACTTAATGTTTTTGATTGAAGTTAACATGAAGAGGAATAAAATTAATGTTAGTGCTAAAATCACTTAAAAATTAATTAAAAATGACATGTATTGATTTAGTTAAAGATGTATGAAGATATTAAGAATAGGTTAGGTACAATTCGACTGTTTAGTTTTAAAATTATTATAAAGGTGATGTTAAATAGGCTATGAATAGATTATAAGGTAGGTTAAAAAAATAATAAGAATCTGAATTTTATTTTATATTACAATAATGCATAATTCAATTCAATATGATTCAATGGAAGGGTTAATGATGATGTTCAATTTGTGGTAGGAAATATAATCAACTATATGAGTAGAGTGTTGAATTTAAACTTCCATATGTATAAGGCAGTTCTAGATATTTATCCCTTTTTTTGAGCGGGTGTGAAATCCTTATGGATACCCTACAGCAGGCTGCAGCCTCATGTGAGATTTTTTCTGACTAAAACACACCTTTGGGGGACGCCTGTGGCCATAAGTGTCTAACAGGGTTCATCTGATTTGATTCTGATTTTCCCCTGAGAAGGGGAAGATGCAAATACTTGAAGATGATGCAAGTAAGAGAAAATTCATTAAGACATTTACATTTTTATCAAAATAAAATACAGAAAAATATATTAAAAAAAATCACGTCGTATTCGTAGAATCCCACTTTATCCTGTGATGATGAAGATGTATATAAGAATCAGTCTTCTTAATACTTCTGAGTATCCCTTCTTCAGGATGTTGATCTTTAAATGATTGGGTGACGATGAGAGATCAGAAGGAATTATTTTTTACGTACTGGGATAAATCTACTCCTTACCACTCTTACTATGGATATATATGAGAACATTGGATTGGGGATGATTGACCATAGTCCTGCAGTGTTATTCTTTCTTTCATCTCGGAACTCACGGTGTCATTTTAAAATTAGAACACGAATTTCAAATCACACCGACGAAATCAGCGGCGAAAAGTGAGTTTGTTCTTGGAGAATGCTTCTTCTTAGTACTACTGGAAAACAATTATGTTTTGATAAACAAAAAAATCTTTCCTACGAAGTGAAAATGTTGAAAGTGGATTATAACAATGAATTGAAATGAGACTAGGTTAGGTATACATACTATTTATTGTTAAGGTCGTCGTAATAGAGATTTATTGTGAAGCTGATGTTAAAAAGAAGTAATAATTGGTTTTACGTACTGACTGCTTTGTCAAATGGTTTTGGTCATTAGCCTTACACAAACATTGTTTGTTTTAATTTGCTCAATTTATTTTTGTAAATGTCAATGTATCGGAAGGCCTGTTTGCATATTAAATCATACATACATATGTATGATTTAATATTCAATTAACGTATTACTTAAGCTGCCTTTATATTTGTATCTAATCATTTTGTGGAAGTAGTGACACAGTGTGCCATCAAACAAGATTTATTACAGTTGGTATTTTTGTATAATTATTTTGAAAATATGGTTTTGATTATTATAGAATTATTTCCATTTAATCATTCACATATCTAGAATTTTCCAAAGTTAAAAATATTATTGTGTAATTCTGTATGAGCAATAAAATAAAAATATAGAATTGTGTTAATACTTCGTATTATTTATTAAAATACAAGGAATTTAACAATAATAAATATTAAATGCTAAGCATAACGAAACTTTGCTTATGTTAAAAGTGTTTTTTTTTTCTTACATATTTAAAATGCTTTCTTTTCTATTTATAAACGGCACTAAAGAATAAAAATACAAAAATGAAATTCTTCGGTATTAGTGATATTTATTCTTTAAACGACAATTGAATATTATTTACCATTATACCTACTATTATTATTTTCTAAACTACTAATGAAGATTTTATTGGTTACCTATTCCAAGAGCTTTTATAAAGTACAATATAAGGAAGTTAATAGTATTTCGATTTTTAGAATATATCTGACATCAATACAACAATAAACAGAATAGATAAAAATAAATAAGCAGGTAAGGTCACCCGGGGCAGCTGTGCTACTAAAACATATGTCAAACTTGTGACTTTAATATTTTTACATTATTAATACAATTTACCAAATACAATTAATTCTTTATATTACACATGTATTAACCATAACGTGGACGAGTTCAGATTAATAGGAAGTCAATAAATTTATTTTAATTTGAAAATATTCCACTTTAAGCCGCTAATAGTTAAATTTGCCCCCGATCTGGGCTAAATATAGCTAACCATCTTATGTATTTGTTGTTGTAACTATAATTCTCAAACTAACAGTAAACGTCGGGCCCAACTCAATGTTACTAATTTTGTACTTCAATGCTCTGTATTACAGTTCAATTCATTTTTAATTTACTTGAAGTACCATCAGGGGTAAATGTATCTTTACCCATTTACATTAGTGCTCAGACATGTAGTTTGATAACTTTATCATATAATACGAGTAGAAACTGATATTATCAGCCAGTACAACAATATACTTAATAGAATCATATAAAATGTTAAAAATTAAATAAAACCATAAGAGCTACAGTTTTCCCAACTCACAATTTTGGAAATGGCAAACGTATAGCCGTCACAAAAAACTTGACTCTACTTAAGCGTAGGATAAAACAAATTAATGAAAATGACTAACCGTTAATCAAAACACCTTCCAATATTGCGTAAAAAAGGTTTTGGAAGTATTTTTGACTGCGGTCTATTTTTTTTTTTTTTTTTTTTTTTAAACACACACCAATTAGCCTAGCCCCAAAGTAAGCACAGTAAGGCTTGTGTTATGGGATGCTAGGGTAATGGATAGAATACATATACTGTACATATATAAGTATATTTATATAGAAATACATATTTAAACATCCATGACTGGAGTACAAATGCTCGTATTCATCACACAAACATCTGCCCCCACCGGGATTCGAACCCGGGACCTCTCGAGTCGGCGACACCATGAAACCTGGCGTACAAACCACTCGGCCACAGAGGTCGTCAAATTAGCTCTCACATGTGAAAAAATCGTGAAATAAAATATGTTTCGATAAATAAAATAGTTTACATGTTAATGTCAAAATCTATTTATATGTAGGTCAATGAAAGTTACTCTATCTGTACAGTAACAGATGTAACTTATTTTAAAAACGAAACAGTAACGAGTTATTTGAAACAGCTACATTTGCCGACTAGCTACAATTGCCCCCGGGGACCTTACTTCATTCTTATGACATTGAACTAACTTCAGTAGTGCTATGCTATAAGAATAAAGTCACCTTTCACCTCGGAATCCGAGGTGTGATTTAAAATTAGAACTCGAATTTCGAATCACACCGGCGAATGCTGCGTTAAAAAGTGAGTTTGTTCTTACAGAAAAGCACTAACAGATGCTTGTTGCAGGCAAGATGAGTCAAAAGTCATTTATAAAACTTAGAAAAAGAAGACATAGGATTTCAAAGAGTAAGTATGTATGGTCATTAGATCAATCACATATCAGTTAGAACCGACATTGCTGGAATTTTGCTAGCCATCTCATGCCGTGAGCGGTGAAGAACAGCGGTCCAGAACAGGATCCCGCCCCTCCGTGGTAGTTGATCATCATGTAGTCGAGACAGTTCGTCACACCGTCATCGTTGCAGTCCTGGAACCAATCATCATCATATGAATCTATTAATGTCCCCACTATTGGCGTAGCTAGGATTTTTTTCTAGGGGACAATCAGTCTATAGTTCAATTTACGTTTCAACAATAACAACTCTTTTCTGAAGTCATTATGCAACACTTGAATTTATAGGAAGAGCAAAGAGATTTCTAGCTAGCTGTCGATAAAATTTTGTCGATAGATGAGAGAGACCATAATCATATGGTCATCAGTACGAATCATCGTACTGTCAAAAAGTTATCAGATCTCATGTAGAGCCAAGCTTTTAACTCTACAAGCCTACTCTACACTAATTTCAAAAACTCAATACTTTAGTCAAAATACGTGGCTTGGCCTTTTGGCTATATTTACATAGGCGTAAGGTGAAACAAAATATATGAAACATTACTTTTTGAAGTTATACTTCTTTAGGCGCGTTATGAAAAAATGATGAGAGTGAAATTTTAAGACAAAAATTTAAAACACAAAAATTTCACATTAAGAAAATCTACCAACAAAATAGAAAGAAATAGAATCTCTATCTAGTGGGTGCTAACGACTGCATTGTGAAGGCCTATCAAAAGTATTTATTAATCTGGAACAACGGAACCAAAGCGCGATTCAGGAGACTACAGCGCCATCTCTTGACCATTGGTGTAGTAGAACCAAAAACCACATCTTTATTTTTTGTAATAAAGTAACAGTTATAGGTATTCATATTTATAATATTTATCCACATGTTTCTAGTTTGTATATTCGGAATACGTGTTTGAGTTTCATTTCATACAAGTGCAAATCACATATGTTCTAATAAATTATATTCAGTAGCGATTTTAATTGAATATTTTGATTATTTATTTATTTTTTCAAATTAAAACTGAACTTTATTGACTGTGTCCTTTTCAAGACTTTTTATTAATTATTTGCATGCAATTAAAAACTAATTTTAAACGATGCCAAAGAAGGATATAACTTCTCACGCGCCTACATAAGTACACGCACCCATTTTTTTTTGTTATTTAATAGTAGCTCACACATAACTGTGGCGTCTTCCCCGCCTACAAGGCCCTACTAACCTCATTCTGTGTTCTGGCATTACCTACCTACAGAACCTTGCGCATCGCTTGGTTCTTCTTGTTGTCTCGGCGAGATATTACAATCTCGAGCTCCTCTGTCCTTCGGAAGGCATAAGTATTATTATTCTATAAATCGCACCCCTGTCACCTCCCTCTCTAGCTTAGCCCATGGCCCCCGCTGTTGAGGCCACAGAACATGACTGTACTCTGTTGTTCAGACACAGGTTCTTCACTATGGCTAGAAAAGGGAGATTGGGCTATTATCCACTACGCCCAGTGCAGATTGGTGGGTGCTTACGACTGCAATGCAGCTAGGACCAACAGATCAAAAGCTCGTGCTTTTCGAAGCACAGAGGAGCTCAAAAGAATAAATCATTACACACATCCTTTAATTCACTACTGAGAAAAGTCTTAATTTTGAATTATCACCTGTTACGTGTCTAATGCTGATAACTAATTTAAATAAATTTATTTTTAAAGTTTTACTAGAAAAAATTCAACGCAGACCAGACAGCAGACGGGTCTCGAACTTGCACCCTTCGCTATCTGGGTGAATGCATTGACCATTATGTTACTGCGGCCCTGATGGCCGTGTAGAATCTTCTCTAACCTTTATTAGGCTGCAAGGTAGTGCCATCTCTTCGCATTGTAGGTAACCCTGTCTAGTAAAATTTTCTTTAGATTTAAACATCTAACAGTTAAATGCTTTAAAAAAAAATACTTTTCATCCCACCACCTCGGAAAGTGTAATTTTGCGCTTCGAAATCTGGCTGGAAAATTCTATTTTATTCGCTTGAGCGGCAAAGTAGATTTGAATTTAGAACATCACATATAATGAGTACTCAATATAATTGTAAATTCAAAACGTCATTAAACCTATTTAATGTAACCTCTATGGTGCCAAATTTATGATTAGAACTTTTTAAATTGTGAAAAAAATTAAATTTGGAACCTTCTTGGTTTCTTTGTTTTATTTGCGTGCTTCGCGCCATTCTAGTTTTTCACGTTTTATTGCTTAAATATTTTGTCATTATAAATTGTTTTCTTTTTCATTTTGTCATTTCCTCGCTGAGGTGGGATGAAAAGTTACGTATTGCACTCGAGTGGAAAGATTTTTCACCTTGTGCTCGTTTGTTTCCCTCGCTGACGCTCAGGATTCTAATTTAGAATCCTTCGCTTGCTCGGTCATCCAAATCGAGCACGCGGTTAAAAAGGAACTTTCCACTCTTGTATAATAAATAACTATTACCTTTCTCTTTCTTAATAAAAGCTTTTGATGCTTGTACTTCGCAAAAGGGCACAACTTAACGGTTTAGAGTATATTAAAAATGTCCAACTCCAAAACTAACGGTGATTCTGCTGATACGATTACGGTAACGGTTTTTCTTGCTGCAATGATCTATAACAATTGCTAGATAACGTCGTGAGATTGTTATATTGATAAACATTAGTTCATCAGATTATTCGGGCAATGACTTTAGACATAAAAAGAAATTAAGTAAGGTCCCTTACCCTTCCATATTTCGCCATGTAACTCTCTACAATCTTTTTCGAGCAGTAATAATCTCGTGCGCAGTCCTCGAATGCTGAAACAGATACAAACAGAAAAAATAGATCTTTAAACTTAACTAATATTATACGCGAAAGTGTCTTTGTTTGTTACGCTTTTACGCCTAAACTACTGAATGGATTATGCTGAATTTTGGTAGAGAGATAGGATAGTAGAAATAAAACTTGAAAAGGGCTAAAATATTTCACGGCCAGGCCATTATTTCACGCAGACGAAGAAGCGTGCATCCGCTTGTGATAAAGAACAAACAAAGAAGTTTAGATTATATTACTTTATTAAGTTCAATTTATTAAATCCAATGTCTTTTTGTATTTTACATAATATATGTATTGTATGTATTTTACATAATATATGTATTGTTATTTATATTTTATTTTGTTTTATATTTTGATGGCACATTACTCTTCTATCTCTGTTAAACTATCCTTCGACTTAATGGTTGTCTGGAAGAGATCGCTTTCAGCGATAAGACCGCCTTTACCCACCGTAGTTTACTATTTGTTTTGTAAGCCATTTAATTGTTATGTGTGAGTAATAAAGTGTATATCTATCTATCTAAATCCAATGTCACGTCTTCTTACAAATTTTAATGGAGCTGCAGTTCTTTTGCGATGCTTTAATTTTAAATTAGGGATTCAAGTGCTGTACGTAAATGTGAAGCATTGATTAATTGAATAAATTACTATTATCACTAAATAAACATTTGTTCTGCTGTCCGATTTAAAAGGAGATAGATGAAGTACGTGTATGGAATTCAAACAGAGTGTGTTTACTTATTTTTAACGAATAACAATCAAATCGAAGACAAAGGCCATCGAAGATTGGGATATTCAAATTATCAAGCTTTATTCCTCGTTGTTCTGGTAACAGCTGTTTTTACAAGTGAATACCACTGGCACTTAATGTCCGTGGTAGTCGAAGCAGAGCAGCAATTGCCTGAGCCTCATGAAAAAAAACATGGTACCTAATTTATTATGATTGATAAATCAGGTTTCATGCATTTTAACAAAGATTTTCAAATATTCAAAAGACCAACCCTGACCGCATCGGCCGTGTTGCTCTATGCTTTCATCTTTTACAGAAGATTATAGCCAAAAACTAGTGTGTTTCGGTAGTAAATGGGGTCTAAGAAATCTAAAGTGGATACATATGTGTATATGGGCTATGATAAATGAATGATAAAAAGAATGAGGATGTATGCACTATAATAACTACAATAAGTACTGGAAAATATAGGAGTATTCTGGGCATTATAAATCCAGTAAGTGCTACATTCGGTCCCTATCTTCTTTCCTGCTCGAGTCATCACAATATACATCCTGGATATGTAAAACGGGCTCCACATTATAAATCTAGTGTGCCTTTATATCTTCTTTTCCACTCGTGTCGTCGTCGGGTAGTGTCGGCTGGCCTGCAACCAGGGTGGTTACACTGGGATATCACAGTGGTTGATGCAGCCGAGACCCGTGTTGTAAACATCGTATAATACTTTCAGCTAATCCGTCTTCATACCTTCGATCTTGCTCGAGTCGGCTTGTTTGCGACCACTCTGGTGATGTATAACGCGCTGCAATGTTTTGCTCTATTGCAGTAGCCCTTGGTGCAGCCAAATCTCATGTTGTAAGCATGTGGTACATACGTGGCTAGTGTATCTTTATACCTTCTTTCGTACTCGGATCGTCGTCAGGTAGCGTCGGTTTGCCAGCATCCACCCAGGCAACTCTGGATGTGTAGGCCGTTAGGCACAGCCAAGGTCCATGTTATCATGTAACGTTAGCTAGTGTTTTCATTCCTTATTTTTTGCTAGGGTCGTGTAGCGTCGGTTTGAGTTTACCCACCCAGTAAACCCTAGAGATATAGAACGGCCCGCAGTAGCCGTTGGTGCAACCAAGACCCATGTCACCATGTTTTTTTTATACGAAGGCAACAAATTACCCCACCTCACATGTTGTCAAGTGTAGGTGGCGTCCAGTTACTAAGATAGACAATAGAGACGGTAGAAGGTATGCCGCTCCAGTCATTCTTACTTTGCCGACCCGAACCCAATTTTCTACCCCACGGAGCCCTGGAACCCTAATCACCAGTAGAAAGACATCACTACCAAAAGGTAGTGGTATTTTAGTGTGTATAAGGTGGAGGTTGCTGCCCCAGATGGGGGCGCTCCAATTTGAGCGGGAAATCCGCTATGTCCTACCTACCTCTCTAATGTAACACCAGCTAGTGTGTCTTTATACCTTCTTTCCTGCGCGGGTCGTCATCGGGTAGCGTCGGTTTGCCTGCGTCCACCCAGTACACCCTGGATATGTAGAATGGTCCACAGTAGCCGTTGGTGCAGCCGTGTCCAGTGTCGCAGCCGGCCACGTGACACAGGCAACGGAAGCACGCGTCGTTTAGGTTCGAAATGTACACTCCTGTGGTTTTAAAAGAATACATTCGATTAGGTATTAGGATTGCCAGTTTTTTGGATCTTGTAATATGCTCATTTAGAAAAAAAAAACCGGCCAAGTGCGAGTCGGACTCGCGCACCGAGGGTTCCGTACGAACCTTAATTTTCAAATATATTTTTTATTATATGATGTAACTAAATATATACGGGTTTCGCAATTTTTCCTGTATATGTACTATAAGACGTTATTTCGTACCCAAGATTCTAAGTGCACGGGAAGTACCCTGTAGGTTTTGATTCCCGTGCGAGTTTCGAAAATTTGCGGCATAAACGGCTGTATCTTTTGATTGTGTTGGCTTAAAAGTTTGATTTTTTCACAGCTCCAAGGGACAGTAGACCTGAGTATTAGATATGAATTTCAGTTTGATACCTCCACGCGTTCCTGAGTAAAACGGTCTTGACAAACGAACGGACGGACAACAAAGTGATTCTATAAGGGTTCCGTATTTTCCTTTTGAGGTAGGGAACCCTAAAAAAATCAATACAAATCTGGTGTCCCGGGCCCACTTACGATTTGGAGAATTGGGATAGCAACATATGCTATGTCCCGACTAAACAACATCTGGAAGAACAGAGGAATTGGTATCAAAACCAAGATATATTGATAAGAATTGGTTTTTGTGCTTTCTTTATGGAGTTGAAAAGTGAACAATCTTAGCCCGAGAAAGGCGAAAGATTCATGCATTCAAGATGTGGCGCATGAGGCGAATGCTGAGAATACCTTGGACGGCAAAACGCACCACACCAATGCATCAGTCCTGACATATCTTCATCTGACATAAAAACTCGTTTGTCTACTTTACGCCGACAGCGTATTTCGTTTCTTACTTCCGCCAAACACACAGTGTGCAGAGGCAATGGAAATTTGGAAAACCTTATTTTGCTTGGGAATATCAAAGGCAAAAGTGCGGTCGTTCTCCAACAAGATTGACCTAGTAGGGAGAATGGGTGGTGACCACAGACCTAGATTGAATAGACGATGCATTAACTTCAAATTAATTAAATTATCAAATTATTATGAATATGATAAGTTTGTTACAACCTTAAATGATTACCTTGTTAATAAATGTTTTTATAAATTATGTAAATACTATAGGACTATTAAATCAATAATTTCAAATATTAAAGATACCTGGACATGATTATTATTATAATTGTTCTTATTATATATATATATATTGTTAAAATTTACTTGATATTTATTTGATAATTGTTAATATACTTACTACTACTTATAATGTTAATATAGGTAAATTTAATTTTAGCTATAAGTTCAACATTGTTATGTCCTAACAGGACTCATGTGTTTGTACCTTATAATAATGTTAGACCTTTACACATGCAACGCAATAAAATTTCTGATTTCTGAATGTATGGAAAACCGAGCGTGTCAGATTTTCAGTATGTACTCACGAGAATAAATAAGTGGTGAAAAAGAATAGGCCTCGGTCACCTGATTCAATTGTGTGGTGTGTGTAGTAACTATATATCGATATATACACACTCCCACCTTCGCCCCATATATAAGCTCATTTAGAGCAATAATAAAGAGCCTTATAACCGCAGTCTGTCTATCATTCGTTGCGCCCTCAACCACCATCATCGCAATTGTTCCGTTTCTACACCTTAATATGACATAGATATTTTTTAAACCTAACGATTGACATCCGGTATCGAGAACGGTAACGCGAAGAAATATATTAGCGTAATTTGAAGACCATTGGTCTCCCTTTTGGCACGCGAAGTACATACACTTGCGTTATCTATTTCGATCTATGTGTGACCCATTCTGCAAGCCCAGTGTGGGTTTGCAGATGCAGCCGGAACTCTACGATTGCAAGCTGAACTTGCTGACCACTACGCCATAGAGCTCCTTGTGACCCCTCAGGTTCGAGTGGTCTAGAAGCTCCAGACGGAGAGGAGACTCCCCCTCACTCACACACAGAGGCACTCACGAATTCTCTCGCCGTCCCCGAGCCCAGTGACGCTGAAAAGGTCATCTGCGACCAACACACACTACAAAAAGTTCTTTATGAAGTTACTATACAGAGATAAATATTTAACTAATAAAAATTCTAGAGTAACATTATTAACATCATCTTGATGTTACATCAATGAAGATGATACTATTTCAATGACAAAAGTAAGGAAGCTTCCAATGAAATGAACGATGGCTTACCGGAACCCGGAACTTATATTATGATTTATGCACATGACTTCACTAACATTGCAGACATTGAGTTATTTCCAATTTATACTCACGACTCACGATTTTGAAAAAAAGTAGAAGTATTTACTTATAACACCACATTTAAGTCTGAATGAATTAATTAGCGATTGTTTGGTACTTTTAATAAACTAGTACGTACCAGTTATGATTTCAAGATATATTTTTTATCAAATATTACACACGCAACAAATAGCCAACTTCGATTACATAAGTTATTTATTACATACGTTACCTATTAAGATACATATACAAAAAACTTACCATTTATCAATGTAAACAAACACAACATCAAATACGGCACCCGCATCTTCCACGGCAGTTAATTATTTAACAACAAACGATCGACAGTAACTGAGCACCACATTATTCGGCCACTGTTATCCACTAACCGAAATGTTTAACCAATTTAACTTATTGGAGCGGTCCATAAGACACGGCGATTAAGCGAACAATCGCTTTTGGAATGAGTTACTTCATTATTCTTAGAAGTGTATAAAAAGGTGTAGCAAAAAATTTGATAACCACTAGCGGATTCTACATAATTGTGCGGTGTCTTTTAGAAAATAAATTTATTATTGTCATTGGATTCACTTGCGTTGATAATATTCTTTATTAGCTGCGGTAAGCGACTAGTGAATTCTTCATGAGAATACAACGTATCCTGTTTATCAAATTCTGAATAAACCATATTTATTTGTTTAAGCTTAAATTTAAAATTTGTTTGATCTTTGATTACTTATTGGTCCAAATTATTGAAAGCTCTATAAAATTTTTTGTGTCAGTTACGTCTACATTTCAGAGGGAGCACCTTATATTCCATAAGTTATAAATAAAATTATGCCAAAGAGCGTAAGGAAATTTCTTCCTCGTATAAATTTATTCAAGAACATCTAAGTGCTTTAATATATAAACTCATTACCTACTTTAATGTGCAATACGGATGTGGCTCGGGAAATACGCTGAATGTATGCATGTACGAGTATTTATGATTTATTCATGCCTTGATATAATGATCTGAACTTTACAAAGCATCCGGGATCTGACAGCCTCGCATATATATGCTATGCTCTACATAATGCTACAAGTCATGCAGAGGCTCCCTTTTCAATTTCTAATCTTGATCCGTAATGTGTTTTTGCTCCTAGAAACCTACTGAGAATATTATAAATGTGCGTAGTTATGTTAGTTACATAATCACGCAATAATGACTTTAGGGAAGCCAATGAAATTTTCACACATAATATATTTTATTAGCTGTGTCCCGCGGTTTATGAGAGATATTTTCCACAGTAAAACGTAGGCTTTATGTTAATCCAGCATGTCAGCTAACTCCATACCTAATATTAAAATCCCTCCAGCCGTTTAGACGTGAAGAAGTAACAAACATACACACTCACAAACTATCGCCTTTATAATATTATTAGTGTGATTAACTTGGATTGAGACATAGAATATATATCTCCCGGAAAAATATTATTCACCAAAATTCTTAGGAATTATTTTTATTCTCCAATTCTTCTGCATTTTTTATTTAATTGTAATTAAGTTAGTATGTGAAATAACGAAGTTGCTATGTTAGTTAAGTTTTACGCGTAACTTTTCTAAGGGGCTTAATAGACTGCATTATGGAAGTTAAGTTCGTTGGGCATATTTATCGTATGTCGCGAATTAAGTTTATTGATAAATACATACTTATAAAAGGTATTAGCTTATTATTAATGTTATTGGGTAATGTTTTGTAGGGTGACGTAAATAATAAAGTTTTGCAAAAGTTGTTAATTATGTTTAAACAAAATTACTTTTAAGTTTGTGTTAATAAATATGTTAAACATTATAGTACTAGAAGTTATATTAAATAAATGAAATAGAAGCCCACAAACTCACGTTTGTAATTTGAGTATTTCTTCAGGACTGTTTCCTAAAGCCTGTCTGAAGAATCCAGAGTTCGAATTCCCGTCAGAGTCATCTTTAGTCCTTGAAGTAGTGCTCGTGTGCGCAATCATTTACCTAGCACTATCTAGTAAGCTCGCGGTTCATAATGTAATAATAATAGTAAAAAATATTTCCAACACTCACGCCAATTAGCCTAGCCACAAAGTAAGCACTGTAGGCTTGTGATAACGGATATAATACATTTATAATATATATAAAATCTATATAAAATTCTCGTGTCACGGTGTGCGTAATTGAACTACTCCGAAACGGCTCGACCGATTTTCGTAAAATTTTATATGCATATTCAGTAGGTCTGAGAATCGGACAGCATCTATTTTACATCACCCTAAATGTTAATGGTGGTCCACCCTTAATTTTTATTTTCTGACAAAAATTTTTGTTTGTTTTTTTTTATGATACATCATACAAAAATACATACAACCCTAAATTTTCACCTTTCTACCATCTACCCCTATTTTTTATGCCGGTACGAAGTTCGCTGGGACAGCTAGTGTACGAGTTTACGAGTTACGAGTATTATTGAGTTATTTAATATCATTACCTTGCCGTAACACAGTCTTGTATTAGTACGGAAGGTACAGGATTGCGGTTTTGTTTCTACCTATATTCTTTCATTTATTTATAAGGGGACAATTGTGTGATAACGTGTTAAATCATTGTTTTTGTCATGTTATTAGATATAATTTCTATTATTTTCAAGCATGTAACTGCTTGATGTTTTAAATCTAAAGAAAATATAACCAGAAATGCAAATGCATTCGCCCGGATTGTGAAGGGTGCCGGTTCGAGTCCCGTCTGCTGCCTGATCCGCGTGGATTTTTTTCTAGTTATATTTTCTTTAGATGTTATCCGTACTCAGAGATGTGAACAAATATCTACGTTGATTGTTGTCACATGGCAATAGCAATAGAATGAGATACGTCATTTTAACAAGCTTTATATTTAATTGATTTGTTTAAGTGCAGTTGTGAATGTTATAAAAAGTCAATGAACTTCTATCTATTAAGTAAACAAAAAATGTTCTTCACTTTATTTGGAACTGCAGACTATACTGATTTAGTTAATACCTACGTTATTATAGTTTTTCCAATCAACTTTTTGACTACAAAATTAAAATAGCATTTGTACTAGCTGGATAGACATGTTTTATTTTTAAGTAGTCTTGGTTCAACTCATTATTGTAAGTGGCACATAAATCAAACCAAAAAAGTTTTATTTCTTAATATTTATCTTTAGAACATTTTTTTTAAGATGTTACATTTATTATGCTTAATATTTAAGAAAAAAAATAACATAAGTATTTTTTTAAAATATAAAGTAAAGCTGCATATTTTACAGAAAGTAAGTAAGATAAATATTTTGTAAAAAATGGTGTGGTTTTATGAAACCACGATACAAGTGAAACTTTTAAAATCTATACTACATATAAATAAAATTGGAGTGTCTGTTTGCAATATTGAAATAACCGCTTTTTACTACATACATATGAATATATATACGGTACATACACCAAAATAACATTTTTTACAATTTTTGTCTGTCTGTCTGTTCGTTCCGGCTAATCTCTGAAACGGCTGGACCGATTTTGACGGGACTTTTATTGGTAGGTAGCTGATGTAATAAGGAGTAACTTAGGCTACTTTTATTTTAGAAAAAAAAAACAAAGTTAACCCGGCAAAGTCGCGGGCGGCCGCTAGTCATTAATAAAAATGTTCTTCCTTGGCTGTAAATTGAACCCTGGCCTCCCGCGTAGCAGGCGAGCTTCTTACCACTGAACCATAGATGCTCGTAGACGAATACAGATTTTTTTAAAAACATTTAAAATAAATATGCGACATGCTAATATATGTAGCAGTACACCAAAAGTATCACTTTAATAAGAAAATAGAACCTATTCTAAAATTCCGGTTAGTGTCACGCTAGCATGAAGCCGAACTTCTTGCTGATCTTGTCTATGAGTTCCTGATGTTGTTATTTGCCGTACTCTTTGCCGGTGATCGTGTAGCAATACTGTTGCAGGATGGAAATGTCACACTCCTGGTTGCAACACATGTCTACGATGGATTCCGGTTTCGGCTGAGCTGGAACATAAACACATAGTTATACGCCTTCCTTAAAAATATCAGCTAATGAGTTGCCATTCCCTATATATATATATATATATATATATAAAATAACACACACCAATTAGCCTAGCCCCAAAGTAAGCACTGTAAGGCTAGTGTTATGGGATACTAAGGTAACGGATAGAGTACATACATAAGTTTAATTATTAAGAAATACATATTCAACATCCATGACTGGATTACAAATGCTCGTATTCATAACACAAACATCGGGATTCAAACCCGGGACCTCTCGAGTCGCCGTCACCATGAAATCCGGTGTATAAACCACTCGGCCACGTTGGTCGTCAATATATGAATTAATTGTTTTGATTAAGATTTAAGAAAAATAAATCAAGTCAAAATTTTTGTTATTGTAAGCTTTATAATAAGAAACTAAAAATAGTGTAACTGTAGGCACCGCCCTTTTATTAAAAACCACCTTTTTTCTCCAATTAAAGCGAACAATTGTAATTCTCACATTCTTTACTTGATGAAAACTTTTTATATTAATAAAATTAGTGTATCAGTAAGCACAATTAAAATCTTTATTAATTTACTATTTGTACTCGAGGGCATCAACATCGAACCATCTCAGATTATAATTTATGGACCGCATGCAAACAATAAACATTTTCTTCAATTGAATGAAACTATCAATAATTATTTAGTCTATGTTAAAGAAATACCAACATAAAAAATGGTGTAATTTTGTTACGAGAAGGGTACTCACGTTTCTTTTCAGGTAAGCAGACAGCTTCTAAGGTCCGTGCCAACTGCATGCCGCAAGCCCTAATGGGCTTATAATATGGATTCTCCTCGTAGCAAGAAGCCAGCGCCAAGATAGCAACGAGCACGATTAGAGATGTCTTCATAGTGGTCTGATAATTATGATCTGGAAGAATTTAATCTCAAAGTTAATACTTATTCCATACAAAAAGTAGGGATAAAATCTTGGCATTCCAGCCATTCTAACTTTTTTTTGACCTGAAATTGATTCTCTATCAATGTTAAGCCCTGAAATCCTACGCACGGACAAAAACCCAATACCAATACGCAACACCTTTTCTTTCACTGTAGGTGTTTTTGTACTTAATTGTGGATTTACTTGGAAAAGAGAAATAGGTACTGCTATTATTTTTATCTATGTATCTATTTATTATTGTTTCTAACATAAACAATACTTAGGTAAATATAAAAGTGAATATTGAAGGAATTTTATAGAATTCAACCAGGGGCTTATGATCTTTTTTCATTCAAATACATTGATTGAATCTATTGTTAATAAAACAAGGAAAGGTAGGTTAAAGGAATCTGTCGTTATTTCAAAACGATTACAATAGCAGCAGAAAATAAACAATATTATTAATAAAATATAAATCAAACTTA